CCGACTCTTGTTTCAGTTCAGGTCATGATCTCAGGGTCCTGGGATCGAGCCCCGTGTCAGGCTCTGTGCTCAGCAGGGAGTCTGCTTCAGGATTCTTTCTCCCTCTCCCTTTCCCTGCCCGCACCCCTGCTCCCTCTCTCTCTCTCAAATAAATAAGTAAATCTTAAAAAAAAGAACAATGCCCATTGTCCTAAGAACAATGGGAAGTCATAGCAAGGTGACAATGGGGAGGTACATGATCAAATTTGGGTCTGAAAATGTTACTCTGTTGTGTGGGAAACAGACAGTAGTGAAGAGATTTGGCTTCAGGGATGAGCCACTAGTACAGGTATGTGGACTGCCGTTGCTCAGAAGAGCCCTGCGCTTGGGGCTTGATGCTCTGCGGTTGCCATCTTGAAATTCTTTTTTTTTTTTTTTAAGGTTTATTTATTTATTTGAGAGAGATAGAGAGAGAGCGCACAAGAGTAGGGCGGGGGCAGAGGGAGAGAGAGAGACTCAAACAGACTCGGCGTTGAGTTCGGAGCTCGACGTGGGGCTCAACCTCAGGACCCTTGAGATCATGACCTGAGCTGAAACCAAGAGTCGGACGCTTAACCGACTGCACCACCCGGGAGCCCCTTGAAATTCTTAATAATATTATCTTCGAATTTGTGTAATGAGACAGTGAAGGGCTTGGAACCTTGGCTCCTATGTGGTCCTGGCTCCTACTACCTCCCCTGCGTTGGTTCTCAGCTTCCTTCCTCCACTCCTGCCTAGCAACCACTGCCACTCTCTGCCCCCACCAGGGACCTGGGTGCAGGTGTGGGGAGGCTCAGGGTTGCCTGGTGGCACCTCAGGATGGGGCATGTCGGTGGCTGTCACTGCCCTAGGCTGACAGAACCATGGCACATTCAGCAGGTGACTTGGGGGGGCATTGGTAGTCTTTCTCCCATTCCTGATGCAGGTGAAAAGTGCATCTTTGGGGCGCCTGGGTGGCTCAGTCAGTTAAGCATCTGCCTTCGGCTCTGGTCATGATCCCAGAGTCCTGGGACTGAGCCCCACATCGGGCTCCCGGCTCGGTGGGGAGCCTGCTTCTCCCTCTGCCTCTGCTCCCCTTGCTTGTTCTCTCTCTCCCTCTGTCAGATAAATAAATAAAATCTTCAAAAAAAAGAAAAGAAAAGAAAGAAAAGTGCATCTTGGCTTGAGTGTGCAAAACCCTTGGGGATTGCTATCCACGGGGGCAGGGGAGAGGACTGGCTGACTCCCCTGCCCCTAGCCAGGGAACTCCGTCCAGCAGTGGGCCGGAGAGGAAACCCAGCAGCTGATGGGGTTTGGGCAGAAGCACATTCAATAGCAAGTAAAGCACCAGGACAGACTGAGAGAACACGGCCAAGGGAAACACTTTACATTTTAGTGCCTTTAGTGGCGATTTTTGTCCTTGCTGTTTTAGTAAGAGGTCTTACATTTTCAGTTTGCCTTGACCCCACAAATGATGTAGCTTGTCCTGGTAGAAAGCAGTCAATGAGCTAAAGCATGTAAAATGCATGCAGGTCCTGCAGGTACTGATATCCCCTCAACGGTGGCTAATAGTATTGATTTTGTTGCTCATTTGGCTCAAAAGGATAAACGAAGTGGCTTCCGGAGCGGAGCCCTGCCCAGGGGCTGGCGATGGTGATCGATGTAACACTGATTTTGCATTTTATTCTCAGTCCTTGGACCTACTACATCTTGAATCCTTCAAGCAGATGTGTTCAAATACCATGCAAAACAGGTTGGGGCTCTGCCTGGGCAGGGGGCGCCCCCTTAAAAGAGGAGCCAGAGCCTGGCCTGAGGCATAGCCACCTGCACCTCAAGGCAAAGTGAGTTTTGAAGCAACTGGAACAGTCATTAAAAACCTGTGATTTTCAGGACTGGATTCACCTCCCTGGGGGAGCTGGTGACTGAGGGAGGCCCGAAAAGATCTCCCTTTTCTGAGGGGCACTCAGGTGTCTCTGTCCTGCTTTTCCACCTCCTCCATGGCTTGCTGTCCATCTCTTCCATCCTGGGTGCCCCGCCTAGGCCTCATCTCACTCTCTCTCTATCAGGGGTATTATAACACCCTCTTCTGACTTTACCCCCTACCCACCACCCCTAGCTACTTCTCATCAGGAGAGATCTTTCTAGAACCTGTCTGTGGGCCTCTCCAGGCAGATACCAGGTCTGCCTGCCCTCTGGGCCCCAGTTCTAACAAGGCCTGGCAGGAGTGGGTGCCCCGCGGTGTTTGTGGACTTGGCTGAGAGAAGGCTGTGGTAGTCACGGTGGTTGGCTCCCAACATCCATGACACCCCAAGGGATCTCCTTCCCAGTGGTGAAGTGTGAACATGTGGCTCACTTCTGGTCACGAGACAGCAGGGGAGGTCTCCTGGGAGGATGAGGGTGGAGAGGACTTTGAAGAAAATGAGATGCAAGGAGAGGTAGCCTTTCTCTTCCTGTAGATGTGGCTTTGTTTGGATAGTGCAGAGCTGCAGCAGGCCCAGGGGGAGACAGAAATGGAGGAGAACCACAGAGACACTGAGCTGAAGCCCTAACGTACCCCATCTGGAGGCCACACTGTCTCTGGCCCCACCTGTGGGAGATAACACACTTCCTCCACATCAGACCCTTTGGTTTTATGTTTCTTGCAGCCACCATATTCTCAATGGACACAAATAACACAGTGAACTTGGACAAGGTGTGCCAGCGCTGGACTCTCACCCAATAACACCACCAGCCCCAACAACCTCCTGAGGCTCAGTTTCTCCAGCTCTGGATTGAGGTGAGAGGTTCTGGAGGCAGAACTGGAGAAAGGAAGGGTGAAACCCATTGTTAAGAGAGGGCTGTTGATAAAAGACACCCATGGAGATCAAGTGCATGGGCTTTGGCATCAGACGGACCTGAGTCTGAAGCCCAGTACTCTGTTCACAGGCTGTGAGGCCTTGGGTTAGTCACATAAACTTGACTCCCTAGTTTGCTCCCCTGGGAAGTGGAGGCAATGGTGAGGTGAGGACTAGGTGAGGTGAGGACTAAGTGTGGTGGGCTATGTAGAAAGCTTCATGGTGTCCCCTGCACTAGGCAAGGGCTCCAAAGCCGAGTTGCTGTTCGGGCGGCCTGGCCTTGGGAGCTGTGGAAAGTGGGGTGGGGTAAGGGGAGGAGGAAGTCCTCTGCAGCCGAGAACTTGGGAGCCTCTTTGGATGCCTCCCATCACTTCCTTCTGCGATTGATCTGGCGCGCGACCAGCACGGTAATCTTTCCGGGGCCATCCTGGCTAGACCAGAGCAATTGGGAAAGGAAGGCCTCCTGTGCGGGGTCCTTGAGGTAGGCCCTGGAGGAATTTGCCCAGGTAAGGAAGGTCGAGGAAGGAATGCCAAGAGGGAGGCTGGAGAGCAGAAGGGAAAAGTGTAGCAGTGGAAAGGTACCTTTGGGGAAAGGGAAAAGACCTGTTTGGAGCAGAAATTTGTTGGGGGTGATGGGAGGAACCCCTGGAGAGGCAGCGGAAGGAGCCAGGCTGTGAAGTTTTCTGCCATTGAGAGGGTAGAAGCCTTCTATCACAAGCGGGTTTCTAGTCTGCCTCCAGAACTAGAGGCATCACCCCAATTGATAGATGGAAAAACCGAGGCCAGGGAGGCTGAGTCAGTGCTATCAGAGATCAGTAGGATAAGGTGCAGCCTCCGCATTTGGCCTTCAGGGTTCAAGGTGATATGTATACCATTAGCTACATCATCAGCTGCAAGCAACAGAAAATGTGGGTGCCTTCTATGCTGAAGATGTTTATTGGCTCAAACCTAAGGGTTCTGGAGGTCGGGGTCTACCAGGGGCAGCCCCACTGCTCTGCAGTTCTCCCTGAAGGATTCTCTCTGGGGCGGCTATTTCAGAAGTATGGGTGTATCCCATCTCTAACCCTGGGCACACATAACTGGCACTTGGGAGCTGAGCTGTCTTCCACACGAGCTTTCATCTGTCTTACCACCTGCAGTCGGTGGTAAAGGAGGCATTGGTAAGGGTGGTGATTTGTGGACAAGGCTGACTCATCCCTTCTTACCTACCCAGCTTGGGCACAGGCCCCCCTGAAGGCATATTCTGCTGAGTGGCAGGCCCTGGCTCCTTGGGGCTGTGTTTGGGGCGGCAGCCCAAGGCTCTTTCCAAGATCAGTGTCCCCAGCACCTGCCCAACCAAACTGAAAATCCCGGTAACATTCTCAACATTGTCTCCTTTCTAAAGATGGGGACGGGGGTGGCCGATAGGGAAACTGAAGCTCAGAGACTTGGAGGGTGGATAAACCACCCACTCAACCACTAAAGGACAGAGGCCAGACAAAACAAAAACGGGGACCTCAACCCGGGTTTTCAGACTCCCACATTGCCTTTATAATCCTGTCTCTCAGTTGAACCATAGTCTTTCAACCTGAAGACTCCCATCTCCCTGGGGGGGGCCCGGGGGGGCTTCCTGCCCCAGAGAGTGTGTAATCTGGAGATTTAGGGGGCAGTGCCTATGAGAGCTCAGGCTCTTCTCCCTTGGCTAGTTACCTGCTCACCCCATCTCTATCTCCCACACCCCCCAACACACAGCTGTCTGCCCCCAGACTGTGAGCTCCTTGAGGGCGGGCTGTGGATCAGGGCCCCAGGCAGCCAGGGTTTGATGAATGATAGCGATGTCCTGGGCCTGAGTGAGCCTCTCAAGTACAGTTTGCTGGTGTGGGGGGGTGGGGTGGAGAGTCTAGCAGCTCTGCGCCTGGCTCAGCATGGGGCTGGGGTGGTGGGCAACAGCACTCGGGTTCCTGCCCTGTCCTTGCCCACAGCTTCAGTGGGCTTCAGGCTCCCGAAGTTTCTGGCCACTGGGCATGGCCCAGCGAGGGCTTTGGAAGGGGACAAGGGGAGGCGGGCAGCAGGGTGGCGGGTGTCAGGCGGGGCTGCACAAGGGAGCCCTGCGACTCCACTTCCTGTGGGCGAGGGCCCTGGTGCCTGCCCCAGGGGAACTTGCACAAACCTTCCTGCGCAGGCCCCAGGCTGCCTTCCCGCCTGGCCTGTGCGCCAGCCTGCCTCTCCCGCTGGCTGCAGCCTCCCACCCCGGGCTGGTATCTGTGCTCTCAGTGCTGCAGCCTGCCTGCGTCTCCATCAGCACAGGGCTGGCGAGGGGCCGGCCGGACACCAGGGCCCGCCCTCCCATCACTGGAAGGCCACTGCTCCTTCCTCATTTTGCTGCTGATTCTAGCCCCAAACAAAACAGGTTGAGCCCTTTTCCTCCCTCCGGCAGCTCCTCTCTGGCTTGCGGCCGCCTTCTGAGGCGCTGCAGACGGCGCCGGCTGGGGAGGGGGGCCTGGGCCAGCGCTGTCGGGCCTGGGACGGTGCGCCTGGCTCCTGGCCCTCGTTCAGCCCTGCCTGTGGCAGGAGAGCAAGCTTTGCCGTGGCATTCGCCTGAGGATGCTGCCCCAGCTTCAGTTCAGAGATGCCTTTTGGGTGAGTGAAGACGGTGGGGCACTGAACAAGCAGAACGGGCTCTGGGAGGGCCAGCGGGGCTGAAATTTCCCAGTGGCAGTTAATGGGGATGCGGCTCCAGGAGGGGGGTTTTCTCATAAAAATAGCGGTCGATTTTTGGCCTTAATTATCCTGGGGCATAACCTGAGCTTCTGTCCCTTCTGAGTTGGGAGAAGAAGGGGGTCCTTGGTCTGGGGTACTGACTTCTCTGCAAACCTCACCACGGTGGGCAAGGGATATCCTCTCTACTCCCAGGTCTGACTTCTCTGGGGGACCCTCCCCCCACTGCAGGATCTTTGTAGGAGAATCTAATATGTGGGTGAGAGCTTGAGAAGGCCATGTGAGGTGAAGGTGGGAGTCAAGGGTTTGGGGACCAGACAGACTTGAATTTGGGTCTTGCCTCCGCTACTTAGAGACTGGGCGAGCTGTTTGACCTCTCCGAGCCTCACTTTCCCCAGCTCTACAGTCCAGATCAATATTAATAAGCATCTCAACCAAATGGGAGACTTTAAAGAGGCCGTCTAATGTAATCAAGTCCCCAGCACCTTGCTGGCATGCCGAATGACAATTCTTTTCCCCTCACACAACCTCTCTTGCTCGCAGACTTTCGGGGTCCTCTGAGGAGGCAGCAAGGCGGGGCAATTCCTTGCTTCCTTTCTTCAGTTCAGTGCAGGTGTACTTCAAGTCCTTGTCCCCCATGAAATAGCGGCACCCAACAGGCTCGGGAAGCGAGATGGCTTGGTGTGGGCCCCACGCAGCCTGCGAGCCCACTTGGACCCCGGATCCCCCCAGCTTTTCGGGCAGCTGTGCCTCTACCTTCCCCTCTGTGTCTCAAGCTCTGGCTGTCCCCAGTGGCTTGTGGGGACAAAGCTGAGACCTCTCCGGTTAGAGCTGGGGAATGAGGCTGTCCTGAGGGTGCCCCCCCTCCAGCCCCGCAGAGGACTCCCTGGTCCTTCACTCAGCCGGCTCAGCCTCAGCCAGCAGCCTGGCCCTCCCTGGGCCCTTTCCTGGGGCCTACGGCCAGGAGGATGAGAGCTAATGAGCCAAGCCTTCCTTCCCTTCCGGGCCGTGCTCTGCTTGGGGCCTGTGGCCAGCATGCGAATGGCCTGCTTCCCACTTGCCCTGACCACACACTGGTCAGAGGGCCATCTGGGGAGGGTACCCTGTTCCTCTCTGGGCTCCCGTTTCCCCATCTCTACAAAGAAGAGGTGGGCTTAGGTCAGAGATGCCAACGGAGGCAGACCTGGCTCAGCCCAACCCAAGCACCAGCTGGCAGCTGGGCCCTCACAAAGGGGCGGGGGTTGCAGTGGGGGGTGGGGCAGTGAGTCATCACCTCTGCTCCGACTGAGAGTGTGAAGTGGGGCGAAGAGGTAGGGCCTGGGAATCCAGGGCACTCGGTAGGCCAGGGCAGACCGTTTTACATCTAGGACATCTGTCCCAGCCCAGGGCCCTTGGCCCCACCTTCCCGAGGGCAGAGCTCTGGCAAGGAGCAGCCCCCATGGCAGGATCTGGGCAGTGGGGGATGGTATGGGGGGGCAGGGTGTGGCAGGGAAGGCAGCACAGGGAAAAAGGAGCCCACCTGTGGCAGCTTTCTAAGGGACATGCAGCCATGCTCTGGGCGTGTCCCACCTCTGAGCCACTGCAGGCTTCATGAGCTCCAGGTGCCTCCTCCCCTCCCCTGCTGGCTCCCTGGGCTGCAGTGAGGATCTAGCCTAGGGACGACCAGAGACAGATGGGGAGAGAAGTGGCCAGTGGGAGCTTCTCACCCTGAGCCTGGGCAAATGCCAAAGAAGGTCATTGTCAGCATCACTGCCCCCAGGCCTCTGAATTCGAACCCCTCTGATGCTCAGGCCAGCCCAGCCCATGAGGACAGCTAACACTGAGTACTAAAGATGAGTTAGGCACTGTTCTCAGGACTGTTTATCTATTCATTCATTTAAACTGATGAGGTAGATGAGATCATCCCTATTATTCAGAGGAGGTAGTTGAGGCACAGAGAACTTAAGTAGCTTGCCCAAGGTCACCCAGCGGGGATTAAACCCTGACAGCCTGGCTCCAGTGTCCAGGCTCTCACCCAGGGTGTTTTAACACCCTCTATCAGCACAGCAGGTCATTGGATCTTTGGGCCACATCAGCAAAATGGAGGGGAAATTTCTGTTCTTCTTACCTCCCAGAGAAGTAAGAAGATCAGATGAGGCTGATAGAAGAATTTGGAAGCTCAATTTACAGACAAATCTGTAACACAAAAGACATAGTGATCTAACTGCTGTGTACGAGGGACAGAGCCCAGCCTGCCCCTCCCCCAGCCCGCCCCCCACCGTAGCCCAAGGCATTAAACCCGAAGCCTCACAGTTTGGGAAAATGAGTAGTCTTACGTAGTGGAAGGGGGCCCGTGAGCTAGAAGGATCACGTCTAATACCATAGCACTCTCAACCCTCCCGAGCGCAGGTGAGAGCTAGCCCTGTTCCTGGCACTAGTTCACAGTGAGAGAGGGAAACAAAAGTGGTTTCTGAGGCACTAAGAGCTTATATTAAAGCTCATATACTTTACTCATATGAGCTGCCCCATCATTTTTCAGTTAGGGCCCATGAACTCTAATTTTACCCACAATTTTAACAAGCTTAGTCATGTGGTCTTTTAATTTATAGGTGCAGCGTTTAGTAGGGGTCTACGTGGAACCTGACAGTTGGTGACTGATAAATATCGGTGGGCCTGAACTGTTTCACAGGGAGCTGGTAGCCTAATAGCAGGGAGACCAAAAAATTCTAAAAAGCAGACATAATGGCTCAGAGGTGGTGGGAACACTCAGCATGGGAGCTAGCTGCTTCTGTCCCTCGGTAGGTCTGTGTTTGTCATTTCATCCATGTGGCCACCTGGTATTTATTTATAGCCTGTGTTTTCCTGTGGCAAAACATTGAGATGCAGGCCACTGTGGAGTGAGGCAGAGGTGGACTAGCCACAGGGGAGGGATAATTTGATTTCTGTTATACAGATGATCAAGAGCATCGCAGCTTTGCAGGAAGTTAGTGGCTGGGCCTCAGAGCGGGGCCAGTCAGTGAGACAAAGTTGGGGGTGAGAATACCAGCTACCTGAGATGAGAGGGCTTTAGATCTCGTAAAACTTGCCTCAGCAGTGAATCAGAGGGGCACAGAAGCCCAGAGAAAGCAGGGTCCCGTCCCCCACCTCCCAATCTCGCCTTGCCAGTGGCTCTGCTCCCAGCAGGCAGCCAGACTCTATTGCAGAAAACAGCGGTCTGCATCCTCAACACAGTGTTCAGTGTTTGTGGAATAAAGGTATGAACGGTGAATGCCTCCATGGTCCCTTCCTGAACCCATTTTTCTTGTTCTTTTCACTTTAGTTATATTCTACAAATATTTGCCGGGCGGTATTCTCTGCTAGGTGGTCTCAGCTGGACCCCTAGCCTCACCCCCACACCCAGTCAGGTGAAGGAGACTGTCTTGCCCTCAAGGAAGTCACTGTCCAGCACTGAAGACTGAGCTTCCCTACTAACTGGGCAAGGCACAGGGCTCGGAGCTGTGCCTTCTCACCCACCTCCCCCTCCCTCCCAGACCCATGCAAACAAGCCACTGGGTGTTGTTTTAAGAGGGAAAACCTAGTTCTGGACCAGGTTTTATCGAGATCCCCATCCTATCCCTTTGGCGGTTGTTAAAGGCAGAGTAAGGGCTTGAGGAGGCTGGGCCACATACTACAGTGACATCTCCCCCCTGCTTTGGGCAGGAACTACCAAGGCGGTGGAGGAAGTAAGCCCGAACTTTTCCCTCTGACTCGTAGCCACATTGCTCCCCTTTGAGGCTAGGCTCCAGCCTCATCTGGAAACCAGCCAGCTGGGAGGAGCTGAGCTCCCCAACACACAGAGGACAGAGGAAGACACCACTTTCCGGGTGGGGGGATGACTCACCAGGGACACACAGGGGGCTAAGGATGGGCCCACCTCTCCCCCATGTGCCGGCTCAGCTGCTGTTGCTCCTTCCCTTCCCAGTTCTGAGACTTCGAGGTTCCGCATTTAGGAGAGAGGCCCCACTTTGGTGCCTCAGAGAAAATCAGGAGAGACTCATGTTCCCTGGGCACCGATTCTGTTCTGAGCACTTGAAACTATGTATATACCTTCTCATCTAAGTATAAGATCCTAAAAGGAAAATAGAGAAAACCAGGAAAAAAGCACCCTTAGTCTCATCACACAAAGACAACTGGTAATATTTCGCTGTGTTTCCCTAAGATTATTTTTACGTAGGTGCAAGCAGATTGTGTACACAGTGTTGTATTCTCCCCGACTTTCTTTTTCTTGCATTTTAAAACTGATTTCTAACTGTGGTAAAGTATACCTCACATGAAGTTCACCATCCTAACGTTTAAGTGTCCAGTTCAGTGGGGTTAAATGTACTCACATTGTTGTGGACACCCTTCCCCTCTGCTTTTCAGCATAATTCCATTTTGAACATGTGTGGGTGTGGGTGTGATTTCCTCGTTTCAAAACACCATTGTTAATGGCTACACAGTCCAGCTTGTGGGTTTGGTAGACATATGATTCATTTATCCAATCCCCTATTGTTGGACATTTAGGTTGCTGCTGCCAGTTATTCATTCTTCTGGACAGAGAGGCAATGGGTAGATCTCTGTGTATCAAAATTTTTCACTTGAGGATTATTTCCTTGGGTAGATTCTCAGAAGAGGAGACATTCCTGGGTGAGAGAATGGGGCCACGTTTCTAGCTGGGCAGGAGCCTTTTGATGCAGGAAGGAGGGACCAGAGTGGCCTAGATGGGCTGGGAGGGCCAGACCTGGAGGGGCTCTGCTGGGAACTGAAGCTGCTCAGACTTTGGGGGAGAACTTGCAGCAGGGCAGGCCCCGATGGCCTTGAAGATCAAGGAGGCCAGTGGCTGAGGAGTGGGTCTTCCCGAGCAACAGGGGCTCGTACGCAGACAGTGCAGGAGATGGGAGAGGGAGGCCCTAGCTGTCCTGCCC